AAATAAAAAAATTAAATGATGGTGAAAGTGTTGAATGATGATGTAAGTTTTTTCTTTCTTTTTTGGGTCACCCTGCCTTGATGAGAAATGGCCAATGTGTTAAAAAAAATTAAAATGTAAAATTTTATATCATACAAATATCTAGCACTGTATCACTCATGCTTTGCTAATTCTGGGAGATCCCCCTCTAAGGCAAATATCATAATAAAAACTGTAGGAAACACCTGTCTAAACATAACTTGATATGAGTCAATGGAAATGAGCATTTTCAAGGCTGAGGGATTTGACCACCTTTTATAATATCTTTATTTACTACAAGTACATGTATATGGTATACAGGCCTAACTGACATCAATGACATACTACTAGTATATAGAAAGCCCATTGTTATGCTAAGCATTTAGGGCAAGTTAGGTCAGTTTTGTCCCAGGATGTGACTCACACTAGTCGAGTAACACCCAGGTACCCATTTTCAACTGATGGGTGAATAGGGTCAGGGACAGCAGGTGTCTTATGGAAACACGTCCCTAATGTTTTCCAGCCGTATTGGAGGAGATTCGATCTGTGGACCTCAGAGTGTGAGCCGAGTGTGTTGGCGATCAAGCTACGGGACACCTTGAATCTATTTCTTCCAAACTGACACACCGATCATGCCATCTTTGCCACTCCATTACTTCTGCTGTCTGATAAACCTCTCTTATCAAATTCAATATTAAGTGTATTAGAATCATGTTGAAGAAAATACTGCCACTCTGCTACCTTTGTTTTTTTCATAATGCTTTATTTATTATCATCATTCACTGAGAGTACTGTTATAATATTCTCAAACTGTTTTATTCTGCAACTGTAAGGAGTAATAATTGAACAGTTGAGCAAGTAAAATGTTACTGATTCATAGCCAAATGAGATTGTAACATAAAAATTAAGAATTTTTCGAGTAAGACAAATTCTTAACGTTAAATATTAAAAATAAAAAAATATATTCTAACTGCTCAATGACTTTTACAGGTTTATCCCTTATAAATGCAATAATAAATAAATTTAATAAACATTGGTAGATTTGAACATACCAATCATCTCTCACCTATGCAAGGTGACTTGAAAAAGAAGAAAACCTTATAAAGTTTTTTTTTTTTTAAACTTAGTAATTTATACAGGAGAAGGGGTTACTAGCCCCTTGCTCCCGGCATTTTAGTTGCCTCTTATGACATGCATGGCTTATGGAGGAAAGATTCTTGGCCACTTCCCCATAGAGTTTTCTCTTACAAGAGAGGTTATTAAATTATATAAAAAGGATACAATACTCACTTTCAGTGGTTGAATTACTGGCAGCATTCCCAACAATATGTTTAGGAATAAAGCCATATGAAGGAGCTGATGGTGGTGGCTTGGGCTGCTCTGCGAGTGCTCCAACTGGTGAATAATACTACCATTATTTTAAATACTGTATCTCAAAATGTTTGGATAAGAATGTTTTAACGGCTCTACTCTGAATTAAAAAAATCCCATGATATAAATACGGTACAGACAACCCTACTCATTAGTGTGTTTATGAATTTTTTTAACTCTCCATAGCTGTCTCCTGCCAAAGCAGAGAAACCCCAAAAAATCACAAGAAGATTACCCTCTCACTGCAACATTCCTGCCCCTCCTTCAGAGTACAGGCACTGCCTTTTCTACCTCCAGGACTCCATAACTATCCAGTACTTTTTTCTTTAACACATAGGCTGTTTCCCACCGAGGCAGGGTACTTATGGAGTTATATTCTATAAGGGTAGTTACATGTGTGTTCTATATATGTATTGTATTTAAGAAATATACAAAATTTACTTTTTCTGAAAAATACACAATAGACCATCAGATTAACAAATAATCTGTTAACATATTTTAGCTCCAACATGGTTGCAAATTTTTTTTTTTTTTTTGGTAAGGCACAAAAAATGGTTTATATGGTGGAGTACATGAAAGGGAAAATGAGAGACATGCCATGGTCTTTCCTCTCTGCATCGTAATAAGCCTCAGGGCAAGTCCCTTGTCTTATCGGGAAGGCTTATGTAAGGTACACAACCTCCCTCACCCAGTGCTTCATTTGTGTGTATCCAATATCACACTCAGTGCACATTAGTGAATCAACTTTTGATCTTTTCAGCATACCATCTCATCTCTGGATAATAACACTGGCACCCAAGAGGAATGCAAGTGATCCTGGGACTGCAAAAAGACCAAACGTAAAATTCTTGGTACTTTGAAGAAAACTGAGATATTAAATAAGCTTATGAGTGGTGCACATGTGATGAAAACAATACAGTGGACCCCCGGTTCGCGATGCTATCGGTATCCGATAAATCTGGTAACCGATGCATTATATCGCAGAAAATTTGCCTCGCTTCCCGATACAAAACCCGGTATGTGATGTGGTTCGTACGAGACGTGTCCATGTGTGGCCTGAACTGCCCCGTGTGTGCCAGTGTTTACAAGCCAGCCAGTGTGTGCGCATCTAAGGATACATTCGGTACATTCCATATTATCCATATTATCACTGTTTTTGGTGCCTGTTTTTGCAAAATAAGTCACCATGGGCCCCAAGAAAGCTCCCAGTGCCAACCCTTCAAGACCAAGGGTGCTAATGACTGTTGAAATGAAGAAAAAGATAATTGCAAAGTACGAAAGTGGAGTGCGTGTGTCGGAGCTGGTCAGGTTGTATAGTAAACCCCAATCAACCATCTCTACTATAGTGAGCAAGAAAACGGCAATCAAGTCCTAATGGAGGGGGATTCCCCTTCTAAATGCTAACACCATCCACACTCTCCCCTCCTCCCATCCCATCAATCATCACCAGATCTTCATTAAAGGTAAGTGTCAATTATTCTTTCGTTGTTTATTCTTATTTATTGTTATTGTTGTTATTGTAATTACTATTCTATTGCATTAAACTTAATATTTCATGTGGTAAAAGTTTTTTTTTCATACTTTTGGATGTCTTGCACGGATTAATTTAATTTCCATTATTTCTTATGGCGAAAATTGATTCGCTTTCCGATATTTTTGGTTTATGATGAGCTCTCAGGAACGGATTAGTATTGCAAACCAGGAGTCCACTGTTTGAGCCTATGACCTGAACGAGGCATTATATTGATATGAATAATTTTTCGTACCTTCAAATCTGCTACTTGCCAATATTTTTAATTTCAGTGCAACTCTTTAGGTCTTCTGCAATCTATTCATACATTTGAAAAAAAAAAAATAAAAAATACTAAGGCCAGGAGGGATCCACACTGTTGTAACAATGGTTAAGTATCTAGGGTGATGGCTATATGTTTGATGTAGTACTTAGATCACCTAACTAGCCACAAAGTAAACAATGAAATCAGGAGCTGTTGTTCTACCACCAGCTTCCCTATTAGCAAACAGGGTGTACAAGTGGCACAAAGATAATTTATTCATTAAAAATTTATTACAGTTTCATAATACTAACAGTGAAATTCAGCCACAAAGCATACCAAGTATATTTAATCCAGGATAAGCCAGTAAAGTCAAACAATGTGACATATCCTTGTTTTGAGGAATATTACACTATGTAGGTAGTAGGTTGGTAGACAGCAACCACCCAGGGAAGTATTACCGTCCTGCCAGATGACTGTGAAACAGAAACCTGCAACTGTTTTGCATGATGGTAGGATTGCTGGTTTCTTTTTCTGTCTCATAAACACGCTAGATAACAGGGATATCTTGCTACTCCTACTTACACTTTGGTCACACTTCACAGACACGCACATGCATATATATACAGTGGACCCCCGCATAGCGACTTTAATCCGTGCAAGAGGGCTGATTGTTATGCGAAATGATCGGTATGCGATAGGAATTTTCCCTTAAGAAATAATGGGAAAACAAATTAATCCGTGCAAGGACCACCAAAAGGTATGAAAAAAAAAATTTTACCAACATGAAAATATACATTTTCTCCACACATAAGAGAGAGATACATGGCACAATAGTAGAGAAGTACATGCAAATTTTTATTGATGCATGTTACTACTCTTACTAAATGAAGAATAAATGACAACTTTTATGAAGATGCAGCAATGGACTGAGAGACCACTGTGTCTGGAGTGCCTTTTCTCCTGAGTACTGTAGTCCTGTTTGGCATTTTCTTCCAGAACGGCCTTATCACACTGTGTATGCCACTACGATTCTTAAATCTCTCAAACCAACCTTTGCTGGCTTTAAATTCACCAATATGAGCACTAGTTCCAGGCATTTTTCCTGTTCACCTGGGTGTTAGTCGACTGTGTGGGTTGCATCCTGGGAGACAAGATTAAGGACCCCAATGGAAATAAGTTAGACAGTCTTCGATGACACTGACTTTTTTTGGGTTATCCTGGGTGGCAAATCCTCTGGGGTTAATTTGTTTCTTGGTATTCTCAATAAGCCACACCAACAACGGTGCTACAGCAGCAGCAGCAGCAGCTGACAGTGCTACAGCGCAGCAGACGATGCTACAGCAGCAGCAGACGGTACTACAGCAGCAGCAGATGGTACTACAGCAGCAGCAGCAGCAGCAGAAAGTGATGGTGGTAAACAGCAGCAGCAGCTGACAGTGCTACAGCAGCAGCAGACGATGCTACAGCAGCAGCAGACGGTACTACAGCAGCAGCAGCAGCTGACGGTGGTACTAACAGCAGCAGCAGCTGACAGTGCTACAGCAGCAGAGACGATGCTACAGCAGCAGAAGATGGTACTACAGCAGCAGCAGCAGCAGCTGACGGTGGTACAGCAGCAGCAGCTGACGTGCCTACAGCAGCAGCAGCAGCTGACAGTGCAGCAGCAGCAGCAGCAGCAGCAGTGATGGTGGTAAGCAGCAGCAGCACCAGCTGACAGCTGCGCAGCAGCAGCAGCAGCAGCAAGCTGATGGTGGTACAGCAGCAGCACCAGCTGTACACCATATGTAGCGATGTTGATTGGGGTTTTATTATACAACCTGGCCAGCCGGAGACATGCACTCCACTTTCATACTTATCAATGATCTATTTCTTCATCTCTATAGTAATTCTCACCCTTATTGCTGTAGGGTTGGCACTAGAAGCTTTTCTTGGGCCCATGGTCACTTATTTTGCAGATAAAATCACCAAAAACACTGTAATAATACGAAATGTTCCGATTGTATGCTTGGATGTTACCGCGGAGGCTGGCTGGTAAACAATGCCACCGGCGGCACATGTGAGGCTGGCTAAGGGCGCACATTGGACGCGTCTCGGATGAAGAGCGGTGAGCGGGTTTTTGAGCGGTATGCGAGGCAAAATTTTTGCGATAAAAGCGAGCGGTATGCGGATTGAACGTTATGCGATGCGTACGGTATGTGGGGGTCCACTGTATACATACATCTAGGTTTTTCCCCTTTTTCTAAATAGCTCTTGTTCTTCTTTATTTCTTCTATTGTTAATGGGGAAGTGGAAAAGAATCTTTCCTCCGTAAGCCATGCGCATCGTATGAGGCGACTAAAATGCCGGGAGCAATGGGCTAGTAACCCCTTCTCCTGTAGACATTTACTAAAAAAGAGAATAAGAAAAACTTTATAAAACTGGGATGCTTGAATGTGCATGGATGTAGTGTGGATGACAAGAAACAGATGATTGCTGATGTTATGAATGAAAAGAAGTTGGATGTCCTTTCCCTAAGTGAAACAAAAGGCTGAAGGGGGTATGGGAGTTTCGGTGGGGGGAAATAAATGGGATTAAATCTGAGTATCTAGAGAGTTGAGCAAAGAAAGGGGTAGCAAGTAATGGTTGAAGGATCAGTTATGGAAGGTGACAAAAGAGAATAGATTGTGTTAACGTTCAAGAATTATGTGGATTAAAGTAAAGGCAGGATGTGAAAAAGTGGAGTCATTAAATAAGCGTGTTTGGCACCTGGAGGAGAGAGGAATGTAGGGAGAGAGAGAGATTTGGGAGATGTTAAGTGAATGTATAGGAGCCTTTGAACCATAGTGAGAGGTATTTGTGCGTAGGGGATCTGAATGCTAAAGTAGGAAGAACCTTTGAGGAGAGGGTTGTGGTGGTAAGTTTGGGGTGTACCAGGATGTAAATGTAATGGGAGCCCTTTGATTTGAACTTTGTATAGAAAGGGGTTTAGTTTTAGGTAATACATATTTATAAGAAAAAAGAGGATAATAAGTATACAAAGATATGATGTAGGGCAAAATGACAGTAGTGTTGGTATTATGTATTGGTAGATAAAAGATGTTGAGTAGACTTCAGGATGTACATCGTTTATAGAGGGGCCACAGTTATATCAGAAATCACTTTCTAGCTGTTAGCTACACATGAGAATATAAAGGTAGATGGCGGTACAAGGAAGATAGAAGCATCAGGGAGAGAGGTGAGGGTTTATAAGTAAAAAGAGGAGGGCAGTTA